TTAAAAAAAACAGCTCCAGGGAAAAATGTCCAATATCGCATCTGCCCAAAGTTCGGCCTTAATAGAAATGGCTTATGATCAAGTGATTGCATTTTTATTAAATAAATCAACCAGTGCTATCATCATTTTCTTCTCTGACTAAAAACTCGCAAAATTAAAAATAATGTGAGCAATAAGTAAAAAACCCAGTTTTTCATTTGTTTTTCTTTAATGCAAATTATGCATAAAGAATTTGTTTTTTGGTAATATTGACACTTCTAATACTTATTTCACCGATTAGCGCAAAAAAGTTAAAATTTTTCTGTTTTTCTGAGTTTGGACCCATTCTGCTCTTACACCATTCGGATCAAGTTAACATCATCCCCACGAAAAAGACCAAGGTAAGATCATCCACCCCAGCGTTTATTTTAAATTAATTGGCAAAGCGCTGCATGTCAAATACTCGATTCTGATCGGCTGAAAAATCCTTATCGCAACTTGGAACAAAGTTAACATCTTCCACCCCCCCCCCCCCCCCCAAATATCCCGGGGGAGAATGTTAACTTGGTCAGACCATTCTGCCTATAGACTGACCAGACCACCTCGATTTATTCTCAAAGAATCCGTTCCTTTTGCAATATTCACAGTTCTTATACATAATTTACCGATTAGCTGAAAATAATTAATATTTTTCTGTTTTCTGCTCTTGGAACCATTCTGATTCTGCCCTTAGACCATTCTGCTTATTGACTGGTCACCGAGTCCAAAAGTACATTAAAGATGAGTCTTACGGACAGCGTTTTTTACGGGAAGAATCTGGTACCCGATTGCAATACCCTTGCTTATGGCAAGGTTAAACACAGCAAAATTAAGATACAAATAAACACAATCTATAGGAATTTTACATTGACCAAATTCTCTTCGCAATACTATTATTAACTCTTGTTGCAAAAGCGATGAGTGATGATTTCCTGATCAAAACAATAATATTTGAAATAAGTACAAAGATTTATTTAAACCCGTCTGAAATGTTTACAATTGTTGATGCTCACTCAATGGAATTTGCAATACGAATGCAATGATTCAAATTTACTGCTAAATACAGTTTACTAGAATCCTGTTCTTTTGCTAAAATCCTGTTCTTTGCTATAATCCATCTGCTGCTCCTTCTCTTAAAATTTGAATGATTTCAAAAAATTTTCTTGCGATATTTGAAATTCAAGCACTATTAATTAAACCGAGTAATTGATTTCGTACCGTTGTACCCGACGTGCACGAGGTCGCTGTTTCTCGTACCCGATCTCCACTGAGGTCACTGTCTCTCTAACCCAACCCCCACTGAGGTCACTGTCTCTTACCCAACCCCCAAAGAGGTCACTGTCTCTCTTACCCAAACCCCACTGAGGTCACTGTCTCTCTTACCCAACCCCCGCTGAGGTCACTGCCTCTCTTATCCAACCCTCACTGAGGTCACTGTCTCTCTTACCCAACCCTCACTGAGGTCACTATCTCTCTTACCCAACCCCCACTGAGGTCACTGTCTCTTTTACCCAACCCCCACTGAGGTCACTGTCTCTCTTACCCAACCCCCACTGAGATCACTGCCTCTCTTACCCATCCCCCACTGAGTTCACTTCCTCTCTCAACCGACTCCCACTTAGACAACACGTTATTAGATGAGGGACAGGTTGATTGGGGGGAAAATTTGGTTGGGGGGGGGGGGGGGCATTACTCTCAAAAACGAGGCAGGCCAAACCTCATACCGGACAGCCTCAAAAATTGCGCCCAAATTTCGATTGAATTTTGGTTAAAAAACTAAACCCCGGTATCTAGCAGAATGGAACCAGTTTAAAACTAGTTATAAACAATTATATTCTTGGTTAAACTATCCCTATAGAATATTACTAACTAAACTTCAAATTCCATGTTCTCTGACAATTTCAAAATCCCACTAACTCTGACAATTATTTGTAGTTTCAGCACCAGAAACATTTGAATAAATTTTAGAAGACAGTTGTTCTCCGTTGGACAAGTTCCATAAACCTAACCCGCAAATACCAGTATACACTAGATCTATTGAAACCTGGAGATATAAAAGTAAGCTAAAACTAACCAACGCAGCTTACTGGCACCGCAAAACCAACAGCATGTGTAAGAAAGTCCCACGGTACTCAAACCAGGATGAACCCAGATTGAAACTGGACACATTAATCTTTTAAAACCTACTTTCAAGTTAAACACAAAAATGTCAAAATAAAAACCCAAAACACAATAATCTTCTGTTGCGAAAAGGACTTAACGAAAACAAAAAAAAAAGAAAAACACCTGATAAAATAGAACAAAAAGTTGAACACAATAATAGACTCTGCCCAAAGAGACGGTAATATTATACTCCCTCCTTGGCCCCACCACCCAGTAGGACGTCCTGGCCATTCTCTGTAGCCGGCCTACCCCACCGCGCTACAACCACGCTTTGTGAGCCACTTTCTATTTTTGACGAGAGTTGCTCTAGGGTGAGCGAATCTTTAAAATAACCGAAACTGAATAAAAATCGTTTTCGCGAAAGCTACTAATAAAAAATCATAAATAAAATAATCCCACTAACAAGATATACTTATATAAATGCATTGTAAAAGTTTTCTTAGAGCAATTGGAACGAGCAGCAAAGGAGATGAAAACTCGATGACATTCCATCTCTTGAATGGCGAATCTATTGGTTTGTTGCCGTAGTCACAACCCTCGCAGGATTTAAAGTATGAACACAATATTGCAGTAAAGAAAACCATTGAAACAGAACAATGGCCAACACAATGTTGATCTCACATACCGATCCTAGTCACTTGGCTTTTCACACGGAAAAGTCAAACTTCATCTTGCACGTAGTCTCGTTCTAAGCTTAACGAAATCGCCCCATCATTGCATCGATCTAAAATCTTGACACAATCACTCTTTTCTTCTCTCTACATAAACCACGTCTCTCCTTCCTTCACGAAGCCACTGCTCCAACCACTCAAAAGGAAACTACTCCAAAAGAACAGAAGTCTGTCCATCCATCTTTCACTACAATAAACAATTTAAAAAATAAAATCTCTCTAAACCCCGGATGGATGGAACCAGTTCTAAACCAGTATTTATATCCAATTATATTAATGATAAAGCTTTCTCTATATAATATTACTAACTAACCAATCGTATTCCATCACTAACATTGACACTTATTTGTAAGTGCTGAAACTACTTGTAATTTCAGCACCAGAACAATTTGAATAAATCTTAGACTACAATTGTTCTGGATAAACTCCAAGAACTAACTTGCAAAAACTAGAATACACTAGATCTATTGAGACTATGAGACATTTTAGTGAGATTAAGATTGGTATTAGACTAAGCAGTAGCACGAACCTATACGGCCGAAAATAAGATAGAGTGACGAACAGACGGTGTACCTTTTCTGAAATTACTCTATGAGAAAGCTACCTATGGCTTTAACTCAAGAACTCTTAATTTCACAAACTTTCTCATGTCGCAAAAGATTTTAAAAAATTCTGCAGTACGATTTGGTATACTACTAAAATTAGTTTAATCGGTCTATGCAAAAAAAATGGTAAATGGTTTCATGAAACAAAAAAGACTTTTTAAACAAATCGAATCCCTTCTTGAAGTACAATTTAAATCCAGTTGTTTTACAAAGTCTTCTTTGTTTGCTAAAATTATTAACCATACTAACTGCCGCTCCACACCATGCAGATGAAATAATTTACGAAAAGCTGAAAACCAGTACATGGATCCCAGTAAATTAACGAAATCTATGGGAACAACTTTTAATTTTACAACTTCGTGATTATAAACACAGACTTTTATTTGTGTGCATAGTTGAGTTCTGTTCTTTGAATGAGTTTATAGTTTATATTTATATCTGGTCCTAGTCTGGTTTCACTGCCCGTTTGAAATATAGTGTTAGTGGTGATGGTGGTGGCAATACATGAACTCTGTCTAGACGAGTGTCTATTTTAAGTTCTCTTCTATTCTGGGTGGGTGGAATGGGGGCTATTCTCATGCGCGAAGGACCGAATGGGCGAAAAAGGACCGAGTGAGCGAAAGACCGAACACAAATTTAGCCAAAAGTCAATTTTTTTAAAGAAGCAAATGCCACCTTATATATTAAATGTAACTCCGAACGCGCTATGGACGCAATGTTCAACTGAACACAATGCTTAAGAATTATTAGGAGACAATGCTTAAAAGGCTATCGAGCGTAACGTTTTAGAAGCATTCAGAGCAACCACCAGAAGTTGAACTCGATCCAACTTCAAGGCTAGACAGTACCTACCTAATTTTTGTCCAAAATTTCATTTCATTTCTGTCTGGAACTGTCAAAAGTTCAGTCGGATCACTTAAAAACAGCAACCTTTATGCTAGGAAAGAAAAGTTTTTCGCGAACCGTTTCAATCTATCAGAAAACTTGATCTATCAGGAAACTAGAGTGTCACAATTTGACTAGAGTGCTTCAAAAAATTTGTTTCAGAGTTTCATACTTTGACTAAATTGCTTCAAAAAATTTAAGCTTTTCGCGAATTGATTCAGTCTTTGAAAAAACTTGAAATAATTCAAAGTTTCATTGCTTCAAAAGTTTGCTTAGAAAAACTGAAACTTTTCGCAAACCGATTCGGTCCAAGAAATAATTTGAAAAATTTCAAAGTCTCACAGCTTTAAAAGTTTGCTTGGAAAATCTTAAATTTTTCGCGAGATGATTCAGTCTATGAAAAAAACTTGTAATAGTTCAAAATTTCATAGCTTTAAAAGCTTGCTTAGAAAAACAAACTTCTCACAAACCGATTCAGTCTATGAATTAACTTGAAACAATTCAAAGTTTCGCATCAAAAGCTTCTTAAGAAAAACGAAAATTTTTTGCAAACTGTTTCGGTCCTCGAAATAATTTAAGTTGAAATATAAATTTGAAATATAAATTTTTTGCAAACTGTTTCGGTCCTCGAAATAATTTAAGTTGAAATATAAATGGAAATATAAGTTGAAACCCTTGAAATATAAAATTTCTTCCAATTCGGCGGCGGTCAGTGACAATTTGAAATTTTTGCATATTTCTGCCGGTTTTATATTCGGCCAATTTCACTATTCAGTCCCAGGAAACGTTTACTTTCTTTCCAAATTATTTTATTGAAATCAGATTACCCACCGAGGAATACCCTGAATACCCACCGAGGAATTGTAACGCAAATTGAAATAGGAATTGTACTCCTGAATACCCACCGAGGAATTGTAACGCAAAATGAAATAGGAATGTATTTAAAGTGTGGAATCCCTCATACGCAAAGGATTTCTATCTAGCGGAAGGATTTGAAAAAACATTAGTCACTTGACAAAAGAACTCAAGACAAGGACACAGACAAGGAATCAACAGCTTCTATTATCCTAACAAACAAGCTCTATTTGTTACGAGTTAATTCAGAGGTCATGGTCGCGGAAATTAATTTTCTTTTTCAAACGGTTTGTTTACTCGCCATTTACTAGTGTTTTTGAAAACTACTGTGAACAGAAACCGCATAATACGAAAAATAGTTTTCGTTCTAAGATAATTAATAATTTCTCCTGTTTTTAGCTCTTGATTAAAAAAAACTTGTTTCAATTTGATTGGAATGCAAGTCCTGCCCTGTTGATGCTATGCTAGGTGAAAATTATTCCTCTTGAATTCTCGTCTTCGTCGTTTCAAAGATATGAACAACGGCTATCTTCTGAACCACTTCTTATTTCCCCGGAAAATAGACCTGCTCTCAAGTTCAACCGAGACATGTTTGGGTGCAGGTGTTAAACTGCCCGCAGCTGAGAATGAAGCTATCAGCAAGAAACCTCCCATTACAAACTTCATCTCCTTATTTGGAAGTGGTTTGAAAAAGATAGAGAACGTTTTGCCGAATCTCATTCCGTCTGAAAACAGAGATGGACTGGTTGCGATTTTCGATCGCTGGCTCAAGTACCCAAGTGGTTCATTGAATTTCGAAGGGATTAAACACTTAACTGACAATTTCACAGTTGCCGGAGATTATTTGCCGATACTTTGCGAGAGAAAAAACGCCCTGTTGATCTTCCGTATTCCTCAATCATTGTCAAAGGATTCGAGCGAGACAGTTTTGGTTAACGCATCACAAATACTTCTTCAATCGAATGAGTTTTATGGTGAAAAAGGTGAAGCTGGGTACCCAGTCCGTAACTTACCCGATGGTCCGACTTTTGAAATCAGGCGTGAAAAGGTAAGGCTGTGCAAATGAGATTAGAGAAGATGGTGTTATGCTAGGTTGAAAGTTTTGGGGCTTTGGGTGTCTACCCACTTATTGTCCGTTTAATGGACCAGACGGCAAAAACAAAGCTTATTAGCTGCTGCTGGTTTTCTTTCTTAACTGTATTTATGAAGCTGATTTTTCAATTTTTTTTACTCTAAGTCTAATTTCGAGCAAAAAAAAGCAAGCGAGAAGACTCATTATTATATTACAAATAGGTGAAATTTTATTCCAGCACGGAAAACTTAGTTTTAAACCAGATGTTTGTTTTAGCGCCATCTTGATAATTCAGAACTTAAGAAAACCGTTGTGCCAAAAAACGAAGAAATTTGTGATTTTTTCGTTTTTCTGGCTTTTTTCGAATCAAATTGTTTTAATTGCATTAAAAAAACTTTAACGTTTGAAAGTGTTTTAAAACATGTATAAAAACAAAATTTTAAATATTTTGATGATTCGTCCAATGCTCTCAATTAGAAGGCAATTTTTGATATTTTTTGTCCATATCGGTGTGAATTTGTCCATATCGGTGTGAATCAATTTGTTAAAGTTTCATATATTTTGTTTTTTTTCTTTTCCTTTTTGGCTTGATAGGTTTCGGCCTATATTATATCGGTTTAGTGGCCGCATATTGCCTCATTCGACGAGCGAAAAAGTTTGTGTGTGTGTAGAGGGCGAGGGGGACTTGATAACTTTTAAAAAGTCCTAAACATTTTGAATTTTTTTTTCTTCGGCTCAATGTGTTTCGACTTATATTATCTCGGCTTAGTGGCATCATATTGCGTCGTGCGAAAAGTAAAAAAGTTTTTATTTGTGTGTGTATTTTGACGGCGAGAGGGACTTATTAACTAAAAAGTAGTCATCAATTTTTTTCGGCTTTTTTTTTGTTTTTTTTTTAGCTGAGGTTTTGGCTGTATTTATATCGGCTCAGTGGCCTCGTATTGTTTAAGTTGACGGTCGAATAAAGTGCGTTTGTGTATTGAGTGTGAGATGGACTTAATAAGTTTTTATATGTCTTGATTTTTTTAGCCTTAAAGTTTTCTGCTAAGGTGTTTTCGGTTTTGTTACCGCTTGGTAAATTTTCTTTCGGTGAAAACTTAACATTAGATTATCTTGGTTTGTTGTTCGTTTTCAAAAATAGCTTGGTAAATTTTGATAAATATAGTTTTTTTTGAAATTTTTTTGTTTTAATTGGCTTTCATATTTTGTATTGCAAGTGCTGACAAGCTAAGCTTCGCCTTTCTGTAGCAAGTTGTCAATCTTAGTTAAATGAGGTGTATATAAAGCAAACTGAGCCAGAAAAATAATTGAAAACATCAGTAAAAACATTGAACAAGAACAAGTGTTTAGTAGCACTGTTTCAAACTGTTTCAAAACACCCTTAGTTTACAACATCGCCCTCTGGACACTAATTTACTTTTTTTGAAAAATAACGATTACTAATACAAAAAAAAACAAGAATAGTCGGTTATGTGCAAACAGCACAGTATGTTTCGACCAGTTTTTAAAAAACTACGCAACTTGTTTTTTTTTCAAATTAGTGTAGATTTTATGCGTGGTGTGATAAAAGAATCTGACTTTAAACTATGATTTAGGCATATTCGACAGCCAAGTAATATGGGCAAATTGGAAAAAAATTGTGTACAACAATGACTAGAAAACCAAAAACATTTCAAAGTTTTTTTCGTTTTGCAGAAAGTTTTAGAATGTTTCTGGTTCTCAAAATGACGTTAAAAAACTCTAAAACTAATTTTACCTGCTTAAAACTAGGTTTTCAGGGCTTAAATTAAGCATAATTAAGCTGCTGTAAGCGTGTTTGATTTATTTGCTCGAAATTGAACTAGGAATCAAAAGTTTTAAATCAGTTTTTCTCAATTCTGAGGAAAGGGGTTCACTTTGGTACATCACTTGTTCCATTGTGGTACCTGGCTTTACGTGAAAAACAAAAAAAAACTAAAACACACCCGAATATAAAATTCCTCCCCATTTTTCAAATAGTCGGAACAAAAACGACACTAATTTAGTTTTTTTTTTCGAATATAGTACATTCTCTTCTACTTACATTTCAAGGCTATTCTTGTTTTGAATATGAAAATGGTCTTATTGACTCATAGTTTCAATGTAATGAAATCATCGCACATCCTTTAAAAGGCGTTCACTGATCCTGTTCTTCAAAAAATTATCGAGCTGGGAAAATTGAAATATCGTCGTGATGAAGAAAACGATTCGAGTGATGAAACCGAACCTAGTGGTTTGCATCGCAAGACAGATAACTTCAAAGTCGGGGATCCAGCTTACGTGACGAACTGGCTGGTCGCTTTTCTGGCAGGTGAAAACGAGCCTGTTTCCGAGGTTCAGTTTCACTCTAAGATCCGCGACAGAGCAATCGTTATCCAAGAAAGCGAAAAAACTGTTCCTTGGCGTAGATCAGAGGAATATTTTGCAGTGAAATACGTTTTGAAGCATTATTTGACTTGGCATCTTGGACCTGTTCATGGAATGCTTGCGTACAAATGCATTGTAACTCTGGTTCTGATTGACTTTTCCAGCATAGTCCAGGACTCGCTAGATGTTGACAATGGAGTCCAGCTGATGACCAAAATTGCCAGGAGGTTGAAGAAACTGGAAAATCAGCGAGACACTGCGGGAGACAGAGAAGTTCCTGCAAGAATTAAAATAGATGTGATTAATGTCCTTGCAAAAGGTAAGATCTCTTCATCATGTGCATGAATTTATCAAGTGCGAAAACAGAGATTATATATTGTATAAAAACGTTGCAAGAAACAATCCATAACAAGGCACTCATTTTAAAAGCAAGACACAGAATTAGGTATGGCTGTTGAATATAGAAATTGTTAGATGGTAACTTTTAACGAACATTTTTTTTTCTCCAAAAGTGCTACTTAAAACCTCAAAATGTTGCAATCCCGACAAAATTGCCAGCCCGTTAAAATATTTTGATTTGTTTCACAAAATCAATCAGGCTAAGAAGGATTTCGTTCGATGCCACAATTGGGAGTTTTTTTTTGAGTAGTTATAGCTGTTTCTGAAGTGCATGGAACGCCAACCATTCGTTTAGCGACTGGAATCCATACTTTAAATCAGGGGTGGATATCGGTAATCTATAAAAAATATTCTGATATAACAGATGGGATAATTTATCAGAAATATGCTTGATTGTTCAAATGCTGGAGACAAACTCTTGCTTCTAGAGGAGGACCTACCGAGAAGTGAAACTGGCAAACATAAGTTCAACCTTTTGTGGTAATTTAATTCAATTACAATCAAGATAAATCCAATTTTTTTTAGTTTATATACTGGTTTTAATATCAAAATATGGTGAGGGAAGACCTAAGTCATGCATATTCGTAGGAGAACTGAAAGGGTCGAGTTGTCTAAAAATGATTCTTTTGTTATTCGGCCCTTTTTAAGCTCGCGTAAATGGTGACAAACTTTGATTCACAGATTTCATGACCTTCTACTCCTCGAATGTGTTCAAAGTGTCCGGAAACAATTTTCGTTGTCTTTACAACTGTCATAATATTTACCGAAAAAAGAATGATCTCGAATCACTTATCGGGTTTGTTTCATTCTTTATGATTTTGAAACTCTTTTGTCATTTTGATTCAAAAAAATTATATGAAAGAAAAATGGAAAACTATGCACAGAAGAACAGTTGTGTTCATGCATTACTACTGGTTGCTAATAATACAGCCTAGTTAAAATGAGTTTAGTGTAAATTTACAAAACACAGCTAATTTAGTGTTTAATGGATGAATTTTCGAAGCTTATCTGAAATCCTCAAACATCGAAAATAAATCATACTAAAAACTGAAGTTAAGTGAATACAACACTTCACAAAATTGTCCTTATCATCTGTTGTTATCAATGCCCTTTACCAGGGGCGGATCTAGGATTTTCTCGAGGGGGGGGGGCGGATTTTCAAAAAATTTTCGAAAATTTTGACGACCTTTTTTTTTTTTTAGGTCGATCAGATTGACGTTCCGAGCTCTCCCAAAGCAGTAAAAAGACCCTGTTTTGGCCAAACTTTCTGCGCCGCAGGCAATTTTTTGAAAAAACAGGTCAAAAAAGCCGTTTTTGGGGGCACTTTTTGGAAAATTGTGACAAGAAAAACGCGTTTTTTTGGCGCGCGCTCCCCCTCAAAATTAGTATATATTGGCGCCGAAGGCGCCTTTAGAAAAATTTTAGGGTCTGTCGGCCAAAAATGGATTTCTTAAAAAGTACCAAAGGGGGGACCCTTTGGGTTGGCAGGGGTTCGAATCCCTGAAGGAGGGGCGTCCGCCCCCCCCCCCCCCTAAATCCGCCCCTGCCCTTTACCATGTATGAGATATTTTTTGAACCAAGTAATTGTTGATGAAGTTCGAAGAAATCAATTAGTGAACCATTCATGGTGTAACGCTCTTGGCGTAACGTTCATGGTGTAACGTTCATGGCTACAATTACCCGCTACTGAAAGCGTGCGAAACAACCAGTGAGGTTGCCCCTTTCCGATGGGTGAGTCTCACTTTTTGCCTGGTCAAAACGTTAGAGCGCAATTTTCTCCACCTCCTCCTACCGAGCACAGATGCATCAGATACATTGATATTAGGTGATGTCAACGCACATAACGCTCTTTGGATCTCCAAACTACAACTTTTTTCGCGTGGTCTAAAAATTGCTTATGAAATAGTCGCATCTGATTTCGTTGTTGTTAACGAGCAAACACCCTCAAGAAAAATAAACAAAAACCGTAAGTTCACCTGACATCAGCCCAACAACATCAAACTTGACTATGTCCACCAATTAGTACTGTGACAAGATACTGGGGTCAGACCATTCAGCCACCACCCTAGAATTAACCTGCGAAAATCAAAACATTAAGGCAACTAAAAAAAACATACTTTAACTTCAAAAAAGCGGACTAGAAAAGTTATTGTGCTGATAGCGAAAAAGAGTTTCGGAAAATTAGCTTGCCCAAATCAACTATAGAAGGCGAGAAAGTTTTCCTGAAACTAATTTGCGGCGCAGCATCTAGACATTTACCTCAAGGATGTATATTAAAGAGGTGACGCCGAGTACCTCAGCAAGTTGGCAAGCCTCTCATTGAGTAATGCAACCATAGTTGGAAACTGTGATAAGTAATGCCTCTGGCTAAACGCGGTAAAGATTCCGAGCGAGCTAAGAATTACCGACGAATTGCATTGCTCTCTCCTGTGGCAAAAGTCACTGAGCGTCTACTTTTTCCCGAATTTTTCTTTAATATAATTTTTCAGAAACACCAACCCGGGTTCAGAAAAAAAGATCGACTACTACTGCCCCTTATTGTATCTCAATTTACATAAAACGGGTTTGAGACCGGCCCAATTATTTCAAAGAACACTAATCGTTGCTCTAAAATTGACTGCAGCCTTTGATAGTGTTAGCCACCACCATCTGCTCAACGACATCGCCAGCTCGAATCTTTCCAATAACACCAAAAGATGGGTTCTTGCCTACCTGCGAGGTAGACATACTTATGGAGAAATTAGAGACACCAAAAAATTGTAGAAGGTAAAACAAGGTTTCCCACATGGTGGTGCGCTATCTCCAGTCCTATTTAATCTCTAAATAACAAAAATATCTCTACCCGAGAATGATAACATCAAAGTGACTGCCTGCCTATGCAGACGAAGTAACTCTCACAACACACCTCCCAATATTGACAATTAAGCAAACAATCTGAATCCAAACTTTAACAGCTTCAACACCTGGCTAACAAGCAGAAATATTTCACTATCGAAAGATGAGTCCAGAACATCAGTATTCTCAACTTGGACTATTGAATTTATTTTAAAACCAAAGGTTTTGATTGACGAAACTAACCTAGTCACTAGCTACACGAACTGGCCACGTTTACAAATGAAACCAAAGAAAGCTCTAAGAACAACAGCTGGATGCTTAAGAATGAGTGACAGAACACATTTACATGACGAGGCTAAACTTCTAACGGTTAAAAATTTCCCTTACCCTCTCTCCCTCGATCTCTCAAGCATAAACGATCTTTTTAATTCAATCAGAAGCTCAAAGCAGAAATCGATCAATACAAAAACAACAACAATAAATTTGGCGTCTGGAACGGGTTTTATTATCCACACTCTGACCTCTTCCTGAACGTGCTATATATAGAGAAAATGTGTCTACACCAGCACGAAAACGCTATCAAATTGGATTTCCAATTGGTGCGCTGGAAAAATTTGATCCCCTTTAGATGAGTTTTGCCTCTAGAGACCCTGGAGGAGCTAACTATCATCATTAACAGATACCAATGTTTATTCCCTTGCTCTCATACACAATCGATCCCTGCAACTCAGTTAGGTAATCAAAACAGATCGGGATAGCAAAAATAACAACAACACAGTAAAAATTACAAAGTTCCATTTCCCCCTTTTTTCTTTATTGATAATAAATCATGTTCCGTATCTTGGGACAGTATTAAGAAAATCATCGATAACTATTACTAGTCCAAAAAGCCTTTCAACAGAGGTACGCCAGCACATAAGACCAGAACAGATTTAGAAAGTGTCAATGAACGTAATGAAGACGCATATAAAGGTTGTGATGGTTTTTCCGTATTTTTCCAACGAAAAGGTCCAATTTAGTTTTACGCATTTTTTTATATTTTTTATTGTTCCGTTCATTTTTGCTTCTAAAAGGAAGGCAGAGTCCTCAATCGAACAGCAAAAGTCTAAATGTTCTAGTTTCGAAAGTGGAAACCAGAGAAAGAAAAGATTTCCATGTGAATTGTAAAACAATACCTGCTGATCCAGTTTTCTCACATTGGGTTATCGTTATCAAAATACATGTCTATCAAAAATTGTTCTTGAAAGTTGAAGAGCTTTAAGGGCACATGAATTTCGACAGTTGAAGAAATTTTTTCTGTTTCCTTGCGATCATTGACACTTTTCCAACAGTCTGTTGGCTATTTTAAGACGAATACAATTTTTTACCTATTCAGTGGTGTTTTAGGTGCATCGATGGTTTCTGATCTTCGTCTTAAACTTGGCTCACGTTGGGATAAAATTCAATCGAGTGAATTTGAGAGCAAAAACACTGATTCTGTGTACGATTACCTGAGTGGCCTTACACGGGAGAAAATCTTCTCCCAAACAAATTTGAAACTCGACGAGGTCGTGAGTTTTTACGAACAAGTCAAATCTACACTCAAGTCGAGACAGGTGAGTGTGACGAAACTTTGGGAATGTAAGGATTAGATTAGCAAGGTGATTTATTGCAACCGTTTGATTAGTTAGACTTTCCAGTTTGAAACGGCGAATTAATTATTTATTGTTCCGACTTTCGATACGAAAGTAACGGAATATTTGTGCTCGGGGTGGGTTTTTTTTTCTTCAGACAAATTTCGACTTTTTAACTAGCCATTTTTGACGGAATTTTCTTATATCATTCGAAAGTTATTATTGTCCTGAGCTCAAATTTGAAAAGATATTTTACCTGTGATCATTTTTCGTAAAGTTATGAGGGTTTAAAGATTGCCATTTTGGCCATTTTGACCAATTTGGGACAATTAACGCGCGATATATTTCGCGCTATGAACGCGTAAGCGGAGATTTAATCCGTCTTAGAAATCGTTCCAAATTGGTTGAAAGAAGCTTATTTGCCATAAATGATTTGTTACAATGAGCGAAATCTATTCTTTTGTACTCTATATGGCGTGTGGGGGGATGATTTCATAAAAAAATTTCAAATTTTAGAATTTTTTTTATTTTTTTACATTAACTTTTTTTATGTTATTTTTGCTCCATAAACCTTAAAAGGCAGTCGAAACATTCAAGGCTTCGCCCTGATACGAGCAGTCTTGTTAGTATTTAAAAAACTTATAATATTTAAAATAGTACTTATTATCCCTTCTGAAAACGGGGGTATTGCAACTGGATGATAGACTTTTCCCTTTCTAAACTTTGGTCACAAAATGAACGGAATATTAATCAGTGCAATATCACGCTTGCGATTATCAAGCGTTATTAAATGGGAACATTGACTTTGGTTCGATTAACAGTTTGAAAAAGAACAAATGAATTCTTTCCAATTCTTGGTTGATTAATGAAGTCAGTTTACTTCAAAGTGTAGACCCAATAGTGTAGTGTTAAAATGCAGCACTGCATTGTGAAAGGTTTAAGCTTCGAATCCGAGTATTACTTTAAACTTTTTTACCGAATCTGAAAATATTGCTGTCCAAAATTCTATTAAACGTGGCTGTGAACTTCGTTACTGCCCTCAAAAGTTAGAAAGTTGCTGTAACGTTGTTGCAGTTTAGTTTGAGTTTTGCCTCTTTTTTTATGTAACGCATCCTTAAGCATCTTTGAATAAAGTTTCCGTTGAAAAGATTTTTGGCCAAAAAGTTTTTGACCAAGTCTGATTGTGGCATTCATTTTGGTTTAATTGTTGATATTTAGAATATGCGTGGACGATTGTTCAACGTAAGTTTGCTGGATCAGAAAATACTTCGAACTGAAGACAAAGCTTTAAGGAGCGTGGCTACATCCTTCTCTTCTGGAGTGAAGATTTTAGATTTCACCTCAATTCAGTCGCTATATGACAACGATTTATGGGCAAAGAGTAACTGTGAAAAACTGGCAGAGGACATCTTCTGGACAATGGACGAAATTTTCACGAGCTTTAAGAACTACTTTAAACTTGCATCGAAAACATACGCCGGAAATCCGGAATTATATAGTGGAATGTTGCTTACTTGTTACTCATTTCTCACGATTTTGGACAAGAAAGCATGCCACACTTGTCCAATGATACAAGATCATGGCCTAGACATAGACATCAAGGTTTTGAAGCATTTGCTGCTTCCGCTACAAGACCAACTTACACAGCTGAATTATGTCGAGAGCTACTTGAAAGTAAGGTTCAAAGGTCAAGCTCCAGTTGCCCTGCTGGGAGATCCAACCAATCCCAACTCTTTGGATGTACGTTACGCTTGTTCAAACTCCACAATGCAGTCTGTTCGTAAAGTAATTTTACAAAAAATTGAAGTGGAAAAACGCGAAAAAATAGAAGAAGTTAAAAAAGAATACGAACGGTATCTTGATTTGAAAAAACAGGCAGATTCTAAAAAATGTGACTACGTTTCAATGCGAAAGTGGAGCAAGTACACGAAGAGTTGTTATGATGAGGAAGTTCACAGCAGAAACTGTGGAAAATGTGAACTAACTAAACGAGCTGATGGAATCAAAGTATCTCTCTACCGTTGTCCGTTGCCGACAAGCGAAAACGCTCAGCATGCTGTCATGTTCGAACTGTACTGTCCAAATGAAGTTCGTGTTCTCAGATCAGCTGTGCACTTTTTTAAGGCTGAAGTTTTGAATCACTGGGCAGCGACTGAGAATCAGTCGAGAAGACGAGGGATTTGGTCTGATCACAAGGATCTCAGATGCTACCGAAGCGCTGAGTACCCGCGCTCTCTGTCTGAACAAACGACTTTGATGAGTCGTGATGACTTCAACTATAATCCGAACCCCAATCATCCCTCAGTGTCGCCGGAAGGGCATCGTTTTATAGACAAAAATTTTTACCATGTTCGATTTGGACTTATCGGAGGCAATGGGCCCACTCTTTGTCCCTTAGATTCTTCTCAAGAAGATTTTAAAAGGAACAACAAATTTTTGGAGGAGTTGCACAGATCATGTACGATGAAGGCAGAAGGATTATATACATGTCTTCAATGGACTGTTGACTCCAGTTCGCATAGTGACAATGAAGTGATTTGTCGTCAGAACGAATGTCCGACCGATCTGACGCTAAAAGAGTTTCGAACATTCGGCTTTGCTCGGGCAGGAAGTCGAATTCAGCTTCGGAATCTGATGGCCGCTCTTAAGAGCAACTCTCTTTCGTGGAGCGAGGAGGCTGTGTTGTCATTAGTTTGTCAAATTCTCTGGGAGAGCGGAGACTGTTCTGCATCAGACTTCACTAAAAACGAAGACCATGAGTCTGAGAATGTATCCGAAATTGATGACTGTTTTTATGATTGCATTGAAAAGCAGCGTCTAATTCGACCTCAGCACCGAGATTTAACAGACGAAGACTTCATCCGAGATGCTCTGCGAGTCCTGGATGCTCAACTTGACGCTGTTCAGGACAATTGGGACAAAAACTTATCGCTTCTCTGTCTTGTGACAGTTGCATGTCGTCTGTTAGAGTTCGCGGGTGCTTCTCAGAATCACGACGTTTCCCATTTTTTATTCCGCTGTCGGGAAGTTGCACTAATTTGGGTAGAAAAAGTCAAACAGAAAATCGAGTCATTCAAAGTCCGGGGAGTCAACGAATGGCAGTTGACAGAGAAGCTTGTCCAAATAAGTTTAACAGTCGCTTGCACGTTCCACGTCAGTGTTGAAAACATAGAAATGATACTTAAAGAACCGAGTCACGCAAGGTGTTGGATGATTGCTCAGAATAACGTATCCGACAACGTTATAATGAATAATAAAACCGCAGAATCAATGTCTTTCACAAAGAATCTTGTGCAAAAGTCGTGGTTGATTGGTCTTAAAATTCATAACACTCTAAATAGGGTTTTAGAAAACAATGTTGAGACTATTGGCAGGTTTGTCCGTGAACAATATCAGCACGTCGAGCTTCTAGAGTCTGGAATCGAGGAATCTAAATGGGAACCAGTACCTCATGCAGCGCCTTGGATGAAACGGAATCTGGCCAGTGGAACCCACATGTGTGTAAATAAACTCACTGGAACTTTTATTATCAACAACGATCCAGTACAGCGTCTCCCGTCTGACATAACATCACATGAAAGTTACCAGCGAATCTTCGGATCCGCGAACTTGACGGTTGCTCCTGGTGACTACCCAGGGAGTTTTGTGACTACGAATCAGATCTTCGAAGCATGCTACGAGTTCCTAATGATTGACAGGCGAACACTCCTAGTGACTAAAAAGATTGGCTCAGAAAGACTGTTTTATCTTCACGAAAACATTCTCAGAAGCCGAATTCCCCATGAATTAGGACAATACAGTCACTGGTTACTGGAAAAAAAAGATCGCGAGAAACTTTCAATAGAGTTCAACCAACAAAAAGTATTCGACAGTAGACCTGAAAAACCTAAAAAATTTCTCATAACATGTGAAGGAAAATTCTGGAAGCTGATTGACTTGCATAACAATTCCGTAATGATAGACATGGACAGCGAAATATTCCAAAAATTGCAGGAATCCATTTTCAGCGGAATTGAGTTACGTGAGCACATACACCTGTTTTTGCTTCCTGACAATGACATCATAGCTATTTCATTTCCTAGGCATCGAATTTCGTTTTCAATAGCTGGAAACTATTCCAAAATAACTTCGACCGAGTTCCCTGGGTTCCAAATAGCAAAGTCGGGTTTCTTGGGAACTCTAACAGGCTTGCGAAGTGCTCTTGTCCTCGAATCCTCCAACATACGGAAAGTTATCATACCTCATGGCGAACTTATTGAGTCAAATGAAGGCGATGATGGTCATGCTCGGATTGAAGTGAACAAAACGAATTTTTGTAGCCCATCATTTTTTGTTTATAGTGTAGATGAGAACTTCAAACAGCTGTCGACTCCGTCTAGTGAAGTAGCAAACTTGTATCTTGCAATGCTACATGTGAAAACATCCTACCCGCTTGTTGATCCATTCACTAAAATAACTGGATTTGAAATGGGTATGCAGATTTTGAGAAAAGGTCGCAGTTATTCATGTAAGCCGCTGGATTCAAGGTCCAAACAAATATTGAAGGTTCTTGAAGGTTCTTGTCCCAAAAGGAAAATTTACAGAAGCAAAAAAGGACGAATGGTAGAAGTTGAATGGTATCCTGATTGCCCCCAGTACTCAATGTGCACGCTAGAAACACTATATATGCAATGTGAGAAACTTCGGAATCATAGCGAGAAACTGAAATTTATGTTTCCAGAGTCAGAAAAACCAGATGCTGAAGACAATTCCGATGAAGTTGACCCTTCTTTCCCGATTCTTGTAACACAAACAATCCGGAATATACAGGAGAAAGTTCACATAATGAATATTGGAGAGTTTAAGACAAACGTGAACAGCAGTTCTTGTCTAATACGCCACGTGGAAGTAATGCTTCAAAAAGAATCCGTTATCGACAGAGTTAGGAGCATAGCATCACTACAATACTTGGAAAACCAAGAAGTCTTGTACGATAGAAGATGCTCGCTCTCTATATGGGCAGAAGGTGAAAAAGAGATGCTCGGCTTAGGACACTCCAAATTAAAAGGTGAATGCCGCAGCCTCCAAGATTGGAAGTCTATGAACGTTAAAAGTGAATGCTTACTTGATCTTTACCAGCTGGCTCGTCGAGGCGACCGAACTCGAGATTTACTTTATACTTTAACTTCATTTCTCGCATTCGAGGGAAAATTACAACTTGAGCATATGATCCCTTTTTTCGTTGTCTCAAAACACTTCTCGAAGTTTCAGGCGTTGGATCCTCCTGAACACTCGGGATTCGTTGATCTACCGAAGACTGAAGTCTGCCTTAATGAAATCTCCGAAATCTTAAATCGTTTTTTCATTTCCAAAGATGATTATATCTACGAGTATGTTCGAAGACACTGTACTTACAAAGATCGAACCACCCAAAACGATAAGTATCACGAAGAAGAGAAAAAAGCTGCAAATAAATACATTCGGATCAAAAACGAGGAGGGAGAGCGAGCGACTCGCGAAGCCATGAGTTTGTGGCCTTGCTCTGAATGTCACCTTAGTGGCGCTTATGAGCTGTTAGATAAAACTGAAACTCTCAAATGTCTTTCGCGCTTGTTCGACAGCCGCTTCTCGAACAAACAGTTGTTCAAGTTTCTCGGACAAGTTGACTGTTTAATAGAATCTATCGTTGAAGATAATTACAACATGAGTATAACTCGAATTCCTAATTTTAGTGCCAAATTTTACCAGGAAGTTGAGTTTGCAGAGTGCATCAATTTGGATTTCAGATTTGCGACTGAAAGTGTCCCTGAAAACTTCCACGAACTCATTCGCCCATTCACTGAACAAAACAATGATTTTAATTCAATAGGAATTGTTTCAAATGAAAAACGCCGCCAAGACGAAGAAAGCTTAATTGAGATGATCGGAGGCTTCGAGGTCCAAGATGCTGTCAGTCAAGACTTCGAAAAGCGCCTGGAGGAAAGTTGGAAAGCTTTCAAAGAAGGTGAAATGACACGTGAAGGAACTGTTCCAGATTTTGATACAATCCAAAACGAGGTCAAAGTTGCTCGTGAGCGAGTAATTGAGGTGGAAAAAGCGTTAATGAGCGTGTGGATCCCGAAAGAGGACGAGCATGTTAAATTAGCTCTTCATGATTGTGGGCTCGTGTTCAGAGACTCCCCGCTATCGTTAGTTCCGCATCTGCTATTGCATGAAACGAGTCCAAACCAGGGGGGACAGTGTGACTGGAGAGATCTCCTAGGAGCACTCGTAGTTAGATGGACTGAAAAACAGAGATTGGAACGATGTCTGCAGTACCTGAAAAGCGGCAAAGATGTGCACTTGCAGCGCGAGTGGGACAATCGGGGACATACCAACTGGGTACCTCGAGATTTCGTTGAATGGTTGATTCTTGAAGTGGAAGGAAGCTTCCTAATACGTCCTGCCCAGGTAGAAATCGCTCTTCAAATGTTCGAGCCTCCCGGAGGCAAAAATGCAGTCATGCAGCTAAACATGGGTGAGGGAAAATCAACTGTTATTGTGCCCATGCTTGTTGCCGCTGTTTCCCGTAAAAAAGAAGTTTGTCCTCAAGTCGTTGTATTGAGCTCACTCTACCCCACAAACTGTCAGTTTTTGTCCGCAAAAATGGGTGGAATTCTCGACATGCGATTGCTTAAACTGCCTTTCTGTAGAGATCTGCATCTAAGCTACAGTAAAATGAAATACCTTTCCAGTTATATTACTGAACACAGCAAGCAACGAGGTTTTATTGTGAGCACTCCTGAGCAGATGATGTCAATGCAACTCAAGGCTTCGGAGGTTTTCATTGACGGCAAAGAAGAGCAGATCGAAAGCTACAGACTCTTCTCGGAGACGTATGAGAGAAGCGTTAGGAATATACTAGACGAAAGTGATGATATATTGTCTGTGAAAAGACAGCTAGTTTATACCATGGGGTCCCAAATTGCACTGGATGGAAACAATGAACGCTGGATAGTTATCCAAAGTATCTTTCAATCTCTGAAAAAACATTCTGACGAAATTTATGAAGAATGCGGCTCAGATCATGTGTTGATCGAGCCCCAAAAACCCGAAACTGAACATCAGTTCAATCTTTTTCGCCTGCTTGACAAAGATAATGAAGCGTTTTCTAAAATAAGTAAATTGATCGTAGACGATTTTATAGAATGCAGGACCAATGCAGATTTGAAACCATTGACTGAGAGCCAGAAAGATTTCGTGAAAGATTACATAACTGCAGGAGAATTAGAGTTAAACCAAACTGAAAATTTGGAAAGCATTCTTGGCGAGGAAGACATACCCCCGGTTTTGTTTCTGCTTCGCGGCTTGCTGGGTTTGAAAATTTTGCAACACTGTCTAACGCTTCGACACCGTGTGAACTATGGAATCGGGAGGCACCGCAACATGGCAGTTCCCTTTCGGGCCAAAGACGTGGCTGCTGACAAAACCGATTTTGGACATCCAGATGTGGGCTTGGTGCTGACTCAACTGACGTATTACTACCAAGGGATCCCAAAAGCGGCATTCGAAAGAGTGCTGAGAAAGCTTACTGCTATGGAAATAGGGATGTCAAATGCGATATACTCTAAATGGGTTGATTTTTGTCATCAAGATTACATACCGGAGGAATTGAAAAGCTTTAGTAGTGTTAACTTATTAGACCAGATTCAGTTCCACGCTCTTTACGATTTATTTCACAGGCACATGTTGGTTGTCGATTACTGGCTTGAATACATCGTTTACAGACAAGAAGCGAAACAGTTTCCACAAAAACTTTCGGCAAATGGATGGGACTTGTGTCGCGAAAATGACAACTTGGTGACAGGTTTTAGTGGAACCAACGAAACCCAACTTTTGCTACCACTCACAATAGAACAACGTGATCTGCCCTCTCTTCAAGGAACTAATGCCTTAGTGATGCACAACATGCTTAAACCTGAGAATCAGTTTTATTGCTCTCTGCAGCACGGAGCAAGTGGCGAAGATAATTTGCATTTCATTCTAGCACAGAACCATGAGATCAGGGTCATTTTGGATCCTGGAGCTCTGATCTTGATTAACAACAAAGACTTTGTCCAACTTTGGTTGACAAAAACTACAAAAAAGACTATTGAAGCTGGGATATATTTCGACTCCAAAGACAACATGATGGTTCTAGATCGGAAAGGATTCGAAACTCCCTTGCATATCTCGCCGTTTGCCGAAAAACTTGGTTCCTGTGTTGTATACCTAGATGACGTGCATACACGTGGAACGGACTTGCAATTCCCGACCGGAACAAAAGCGGCAGTTACTCTGGGAAAAGGTCTGACGAAGGACAAATTAGCCCAAGCTTGTATGCGAATGCGGCTGCTGGGTTGCGGACATAGCCTAGCTTTTTTCGCTTCCTACGAAGTGGATCTTGAGATACAATCACAGACTTCTAGTCTAACTTCACGAACAACAGAAGTAGGCAAAGTGCTTTCTTGGGTTTTCCTTAATAGCATGAAACAAGTACAAAACGGACTAACTCATTGGGCTAATCAAGGGTCAGATCAACTATACAAACTTAGCGCTTATGATAAATTTAATTCGAGAGGAGTCGACAGTCATTCATTGACAAGATACGCCAGGGAAATCGTGCAAAAAGATGCGGTTGAGCTGAAAAAACTGTACGGGACCTTTAGAACAAAAACATCCTTATCTGGCCTCATATCAGATCGAGTGCAGCAGATTTTTGAAGTGTCTCAGAAGGATTTTAAGGACCGTTTGATTGAGAAATGCAATCGACTAGTCTCAGAAAAGGAGTTCTTTGCTGATGTTTTTGACGAGGAGCAGGAGCGTGAGTTGGAACACGAAGAGGAAGAGGAGTTTCAACTCATCAAACCCGGTTAGTCCCTTGTTCTGGTTTGCTATTTAGTCCCTGAGGGTGCATTTGTTTATCACACACTGACTTAATACCGAAACCGATAAATTAGACATTCTGCGATCTCTAGATGAACTTTTTGTCTAGCTGTTACTGCCCATTTTTTTATTTGTCGTAAGTCATAACACAGGAACTTGAAACGTGCGCAGAAATTTTTCTAGAGGGAGCGGTTTCCTAATTTTGTTTTCGACCTTTCATGTTTTAGATCGACTAATTTGATTTTCCGAACGCACAATTTTTGAATCAGAAACAAGCTAACTAAATATGAAGTTTTGAGCATGTATTTTTGGCGTAACCCCCCCACCCCCCGCAAATTTAGCTATATTGGCATCGAAGGTGCCTTAGGTATATTTTTGAGTTTGGTCTGCCAAAAATGGATGTCGTAAAATTATACCAAAGGGGACCCACTGGAAAAAATTGGCAACCAGAATTGAGGGCGGGAGGAGGTGGTATTCACACACCCTCCTCGGCACGCTAGTGGCGCTGTCAATAATTAAGTTCTGCATTCATAATTACAGCTCTAGGGATTAAGTTTGAGCACAAACGAACGCTAATCAATATTTAAAAGTTTCTTACACACATGATCGTAGTGTAATAGTAAAACTATTCTTTTTTCTAACCTAAAGTCGCAACTGTTGGTGCCACTTTTGCAACAGCTTAAATTTTCAAGGCTTAATTTTACCATTTCTTTCTTATTTTACAGCTGCTTTTTGTCATTTTTTCGCTAGTGTTTGCGACGTTCAGCTTCGCCTCTGTGTTGAGTTGCTTAAGTATTACTTTCATTATTTTGTACAAGTATTTAGTTCATTTCTCGATTGAGACTTAGTTTGTTCAGGTCGCTTGTCGGCTAAAAAACCCGAGTTGCCCGAGTGTGTGAGACGTCTGGCAGAAGGTGGTCACGTGGATCCCAGCCAATTCCTTTGTCTTGAAGAATGTCTGATAAACACAAAAGTGTGGCCCAAAATTACAAGCGCGTTCAAGCATGTCTATGCAAGTCCTGAGTTCCCAAAAATAACGTCTGATAAAAGGTATGTGGCGCGATTTATTGTGGATTTTATGTCAGTTTCCTAGGCCAGCCGAAGGTGCGAAAGCACTTTGGGTTCAATTGTTTTCAATAGAATTCCAGGTTTCACATGTAAGCGTCACATTGGGTTGACTGATATTTTGTATAAAGTCTTTTCAATTGTAATGGAAATTTTTGAAAATGTTTTCAGATTATCTGATGGTTCTTAGAGCTAGAAATAAGGCGCAATTCATATTTTAAACAGCTAAATTTGGCTTTTAGTTTGCCTAAATTCCTTTAATTATTTGACAAAGCTAAACTGCATGCAAAGCGTAATAAAAATGTTTCAAACAATTACCGCTCAAGAAAAATATTCTCACCTTACCGACATAGAGACGAGCCTCATTTCTTGCCTTTTTAGGTTTTGATGGAACTCTGACGTAGGGCGAACTTTTCCAGCCAATTTTGTTTACTCAAAGAAAGCTCTGCGTAGTTTTTGTGGTATTATTTTAGAGCCTTTTCAAGCGCAGTTCCGATTCTGAAAAATTGGGGGTTTCGAGGAAAAATTGGTCTGATTTTCTTTAGTTTTTGGGCAAAATTCAATGAGAACCTGATATCCCAATCAAGTTTTATAACCATTTTACTTTATATTAGTTACTGTTCTGTCTCATTTTTTTAACCTAATCCATATGCCTTTTTTCACTTAAAAAACAATACAATACAGTCGCGTCTCGATTTAACATACCTCTTTGGACGGTCAAAATAATGTTAAATGGAGGTTTACGTTAAATCAAGATCAAGAAAGAAGAGTGTTTTTAATGAATTTTGTTCATCATCTATTATTATTATTACACGAGTGTCAACATCAAAATAGCTGAGCAGTGATGACCTATTTGTCAGAGGAACTTTGAGTTCGGGAACTTCTAAGATTTCGCTAAGAGTTTCTCCTGGTTCAATGGCAGATTTGCTAGTAGGAACTAAGTCATCGTCAAAAGTTTCTTCCACCGTGTTTTCATCGGAAAGATTTCCCGCCACCTCGTCGATATCCTTGTTGAAACCAGCTTTGCGGAAACAACTTTTCACGGTATCAGTTGATACGCCTTCGTCCCAACTTCTTTTCAGCATGTGTATTGCGGCCAAAACAGAAAGATTTGCACGTTGTTCTCCACAGTCCAGAGCAGTAATTTGTTAACTTTGTTTTTACATTAGATTTTCAGGCTTTTGATTACTCCCATGTCCATAAGTTAACATCGCGGTATTGTATTTGGCGGAAAAATTTCAGTTCAACGTGATCGTGAGTCATATTAAGATGTGCACTGCAATTATCATCGAACAACATCACTTTGCGTTTTAGATTTACATGGTTCTTTCGAAGCTCCTCAGAGTATCAGCAAAAATTTCATAGTTAATCCATGCTTTGCTCTGGTTATAATATTTCACCGGTAAATGGTTGACGTTTTCGGAAGCCCGTGGTTTAGCAGCCTTTCCTATCGTTCAGGGACAGTTTTTACCAGCTAGAGAAGCAACAACCACAATAGTGAGTCTCTGCTTAGGCTCTTTCTTTCCGTGTTTTACCAGTGAACTCGAACACACGCTAAAGTTTTGGTGGTGAACATAGCTTCATTGTTATAAAAAACTTATGGATTACAGAGAGATATCCGAATTTATTTCCGACGAATTAGTTTGGATCGCAGTATAGTTTGAGTCAGCGCAGAACTGATATCGAATTGAACTCAATCTAACACATGCAACTTTCATAAATAACAAACAAGCGTTTAATACTGTTTCACAGAAATCACTTCTACAAGAAGCTGAAAACTGCAGACTACGAGGTACCTTTTTGACAAATAGAGTACAAGTAGTGAAGACAGGATCTAAAATGTCAAAATTGAAAACTATTCACTGTGGAGTTCTACGAGGGTCAGTCTTTGAGCCACTACTAATCATTTTGATGATAACTGATTTACCATCGATTATAAACTCAGTGAACACATACTTATACGCAGATCTTTTTGTTCCTCGCTAGTTTCTGCGTATGAAGTAGTTCACTGACAATGTCTTCTCTAATCGATAAACATTTAATCTCTCATATTCTCTAACGTCTTATCAGTTTCAATTTCTTCGGGGCCTTTTATTCTTGTTAGAGCAACCGGACGGGTTGCTTTTTGGTAACTATCCCTCATATTATGTCGTCGATCTCCGCGAGCCTTCTTAATTTGTGGTTCCATTGCTTATATCATCAGTTGCTTTGGTAGACTACTATTATTTCGTCCGAGTCTTCAAAGCTTACTTTAATCTGGCAGTTATTCGTGGTAGTTAATCAAACAACGCTGGCTTGCATAATCACTTATACCATCATCTCTATTCAAATGTGGGTATTCCTTCATTTGAAACGAGGACGAGGGTTTGATGTTAATTTGCTTTTAATTGCTGGACAGTCCGCTTTTCTATGGTATATTTGATTTTCTAGCCAAAACATACAAATTTGTCCATTATAAGAAAAGTCTAGTTTTTTCTGTGCTAAAGAGTGACAAGCAACCAAATTCCCAGGGCACGTTAAAAACTGCAGAAAAATTTCGAGGTTTTTGTCGATTCAAAGTTGTCTCATTTCATTAAAAAGGCTTTTTCTATGAATCTACTATTTTTGAGTTGTAGCATTCGTGGTCAGAGAGCCGTTGGTGCAGCTCATCCATCTTGTTTGATAACGAGATATCAATTTTGTTCTTCATTCCGAGTTTGTAATTAATTTGGTAAGAAGTGTTTTCAAGGAAGTATTCTCTAGTCCTTCTCTTTTCTCTCGAGCATTTATGTCAGAAATTCGCTTTAGTCAGATTAAACGCCCGGTTTTTAAATTCTTTTTGATCGCTGCATACAAACCGACTAATCGCTAGTATTATCGCTAGCCTAATTGTTTTGATAAACTTATTTAATAGTTTCAGATAACAAGTTGATTTCCTGGGTCAGCCGTGGTGGTCCCCAAATTCCTGTTTCTTTCCTATTTTCTGCTCATTCCTGCACTAGCTCATTCCTGCTTCATTATTTCCTTCTGAACAGCGCTCATTCCTGCTTCTTTCTAAGCTTGATAATGGGCGATAGCGTTTCGGCTAAAAAGCTGACTTCAAATGATTGGTATCCAACCATCGACGAAATAATTTGGGCAACGGATGCGGAAGTTGCTTCTCTCTTCTCTCCGCTAAAAAAAGATAGTCTCTCATGTTTACCACGAGAGAGTTTATCTCAACTGAAAATCGCTAGAAAAAAAAGAGCTCACATTGGAGAAAGTTGTGGAGAAGTTGAGTGCCGAAGAAAATAATATACCGATACTTGTTGGGAAGCTAGATCATCTGAAAGATAAAGTTGATATCTTATCAACTAGTCACGAGTCTACAAAAAAAAGAAACCGAGAACATCTCAACAAACCTCACGGCATACAGCACAGTTCTTCAAAAAAACATTGATCAGCAACAAAATGCACCTGTTAAACATACCATAGCGCCTGTCGTGCAATCTCCCGAAGCGTGTTTATTCAATGAGTACTTCCAGTCGGTATTCGTTGAGCACGTCTCACTGATACCGACTGAAAATCCCACTATTAAACTCACCGAAAATGACTTCACCTCCGCGAGTGTCATGAAAGTCATTCATGACCTCGATGTTTCAAACTTGTGTGGACATGATCAGTTGCCTCCTGCTCCATTCAATGAAGTGCCAGCGCTTTGGAAATCTTTGAGTACCATATTCAACAAAATCAAACAGACGTGATTTTTCCTGACTGTTGGAAGATTGGTAAAGTTACCCCACTATTCAAGAAAGGAAATCGTCAAGTTGCAACTAACTATCGGCCAATCACTCTCCTAAATATTTGTTCAAAACTATTTGATAAAGGTATCTTCAAGGCTTTGTACTCATTTGTAGCACCTCTCATTCATCATAGTCAATTTGGTTTTCAGCGAAAGAAATCAACAGTGCTTCAGCTTATCGCATATCTTGAAGACATGTACAAGGGAATTCATCAGAAAGAACCTGTCGTTGAAGCCGTGTACCTTGATTTTGCAAAGGCATTCGACAAAATAAACCACAGTATTTTACTTGACCCACTACGAAAAATTGGAGTAGGCGGAATACTCAGAAGTTCTCAAAATACTCAGAAGTTATCTTTCCAATAGAAGACAGTTGGTAAATCTAGACGGAACTGAGTCTAATCATCTATTTGTTTTATCTGGTGTTCCTCAGGGTTTCATCTTCGGCCCGCTGCTGTTCTTGGTTTTTGCCTTAGATTTGCCTGATGGAGTTCTAGGTGTAGCCTATATTTTCGCCGACGATGCCAAACTGTTGTCTATTCGTAGCATAAATGAGTCTTCGTTGCTGCAGCATGACCTCAACTGCCTGGGAAGTTGGGCGATCAGCAATCAAATGGAGTTCAATTATACCAAGAGTCACCTTATCTCATTCTTAGCAGGCGAAAACATTACTACCCCTGTTTACCTCAATGGGTTTTGCTTGAAAGAAACCTCGTGTGAGAAAGATCGTGGCGTTCATATATCTTCAAGCCTCAAATGAAACGACCAGATCAAATTGAGTGTACGGAAAGCCTTTACAGTTTTGTTTCTTATCAAGCGCAACTGTTCATATCATTTATCGTCTGAAAACAAGTTCAATCTATCTAAATCTATGATTGTTCCAGTTTTTACATGTTTTTCCAGTACAACGTGATGCAACCAGATGGATTGTTGGCTATCATAGTAGTTTATCATATTCCGAAAGACTGGCTAAGTTGAAGCTTCTCCCACTTTCCTTTTACATGTAAATGAACGATCTACTGTTGTTATCTAAAGTCATCAATGATCATTATGCTGTGCAGTGGAGTGACTCGATCAAATTATTATCGTTTTCAATCTACAGTTCGAGAGGGTCGAGCAGAATGTTATTCAACATTCCCAAACTTCGCCTAGATGTCTGCAAAGCAAATGTCTGGCACAGATCGCAGAGACTCGCCAACATCCTATATGCGCGTTTTTGAATCGTCGTGTTCTTTTCTTACCAAAACTTGAAAAAGAAATTTCAGACTTGTTTTTGGGATTTCTTCTCAAACTATTATTCTACTGAAAATCCTTGCTAGTGGGTAATTTGTTGTTTGTGCTATCTTTGCCGTGAAACTAGTTTGTAACGCCTTTTTTATGTTTTTTAGGGAACTTCTGTTCCCCTCAATCATTTTGTATATTCTTATATAATCTGATTGTAAATCCTCAATAATAATAAATCGTAATAATTCAATTTTTGGTCTTGTGTTTGTTGTTTCTTGTTGGTGTTCAGGACGTTGGGTATCAACATAGTTTTTTTCTACTATCTGACAGTTTGGAGCAATTAATGTGCATTTTTAATTTGTCATAATATTGTATATTTATAAATGATTATTGGGTTTTCTGTAGTTTTTTAAGAACATAGAAATTTTCATGAAGCTGCATGCCTTGGGTTCGCTCTCGTTTTGTTTCAGAACTGAAGCTCAAGATTTACAAATGCTCGCATCAGAAAGGCAGATCATTGATTCTAATACAGCAGGTAATGCTAAAAGCTTTGACCGTTGAAGAAATTTTCTATTGTGTATTTTGCCATTGGTTATTTTAAATTTTGAGACCAAAAGTTATCAATTAAGTTCAAAAGACGGAATAGACTATTCGAATAGGAGTTTGTATTTAGTAGAAACAGCATTCGATCTTGACTGAATTGATCTCATTTTCTAGTTATAAAGTGTGTTCGCTACTGCATACAGTGACGCAACTGCATAGTTTGATGGGTGTGGTATGCAAACTGTTGTTGTTTTTAGGTCATTTGACTGCTCTGTCCAAACCTATGGACGAGTTCATGCGAGACCCCTTCTGGCTGCTCAGGTGCAACATCACTGGCGACTTGGTCCTTCTAACTGCCTTCGAGGTCAACGCCCTGTACGACACGTTGCATGAAATGAACCATGCCGTTCTGTACATGTTCCAGCCCTACCATCAGAAACCATCACTATCCATGAAAGCTTTGCATGAGATTGAAGGGTTCTCAATTCCAAAGGGAAACAGTCTCCAGTTTGACGAGATTGTTCATTATGCTGAGCTCAATATTTTTGCCGGCAATCTGTACTTCGAAAATGCGCAACAAGAAAGATGGATTTGCAGCTATTTAGGTGAGATTAAAATACCCAAGGGAAACTGAGAACTACACCTCGTGATTAAACATATAAACTTGGTAATATTCATGAACAAACGCACAAAAACGGTAAACGCGCAAAGCTAAATGGAAATTGCTCTTGTTTTCCCCCAGTTTCAGTTTGATAAAAGTGTATCTTGGTTTTTTGCTCATTGACTGCATATTTTCAGGTCTTTTGCCTCTCCCAAGAACAATTGAACAAAATGAGGCGTTCCAACAGAACCTTATAACTTCCCACGGGTTTGTAACACCTCACAACAGATGTCGAGTTCCACCTGGAGCTGAGCTTTGGCAATCTTGTCCGTTCGAGACCAGTCCAGTGCAAACAGTGCTGGATTTGATCAGCATCCGAAACGTCGACATGCTCTATCCTTCTAGCCACATGCACAGACTTCTTTCAAGATGTCATTCGAACTTTGAAGATGTTTAAAGACGTGATGAGAAATAGAGCAATTTATAAAACTGGGGAAAATAAAATAAGTTCAGTACTAATTTTTAAAACTCGTAATACGTATAACCAAGCCTAGAACATCAAACTTATTGTAATAGAAGCCCATATTGACTCAGACTAAACTATCTATTATGAGATCAATGTTGTTGTTAAAAAAATACACTAATAAAAGACTAATATTAACTCATTTTAGTTTTACTGTGGCTAGTAGTTTACAGAGTGAAAACATGCAAATTAACGCACTTTTTCTATCATGCTTGTAAATTAAGAATTAGAAACAGCAATTATTCTCAATCACTGAGGTTTTGACCTGGGATAGTATCTGTACTGTTCCAGTATTAGGTCACTATACAGTCAGTAATGAAACAACTGCAAGTGCAACTTAGCTGTAATCAGAGAATCAAATGGCAGTACATACATACATATATGCATACATACCTCCATACATACATACATACATACATACATACATACATACATACATACATACATACATACATACATACATACATACATACATACATGCATACATACATACATGCATACATACATACATACATATATACATACATACATACATACACAAAGTCGCAACATGTCAAGTTAAGTCAAAGAAAGTCGAAAGCAGAAATTATTAGACTAAAAAAGTTGAAAGCGGACAAAGATAGACTGGCAACCCGCTCAATCACCTCAATATTGTTCGAGCCCTTGAAAATGCCGAACACATTTTTTGTGGTCGAAACATTCAAAAATCATCTTGCTTGGGTCGAGCGTATTATTTGTGGTCGAGACACTGGAAAATTATCTAGTTTGAATCAAGCACGAATGTTTGGTCGAGTGCAGTCTTAAACTTATTTTGCTAGAGTTGAGCGCGGTCGAGCACATAGTTTTTTGGTAGAGACATTAGAAAAATATTTTGTTTGGGTCGAGCATGATTGTATGGTCGAGTGCTGTCGAAAACATTTTTTGCTTGGGTCGAGAAAGTTTCGTCGGTCGAGCACTGTAAAAAACATTTTTTGCTTGGATCGAGACGGTAGAAACATACCGAGTTTTGGTCGAGTTGGTCGAAACATATCAATTTTTGGTCGAGATATTCGAAACATAAATGAGCACGTTGACCCGGGTACTGTCGCACTTCTAATTGAGTACAGCAACCAAACCGCAGCCGTTTTTACGGCAACAGTTATGATCACGGTCGCAACAGCTTACTATGGTCAAGCACATTTGTTTTGGTCGAGCGCGGTCAAAAAATAGCAAAGTTTAGTCAAGACGGTCGAAACATACCAATGTTTGGTCGAGACGGTAGAAACATACCAAATTTTGGTCGGGTTAGTCGAAACATATCAATTTTTGGTCGAGATATTCGAAACATAAAATGAGCACCTCGACCCGGGTACTGTCCTAGGTCTGATTGAGTACGGCAACCAAACCGCAGCTGTTTTTACGGCAACAGTTATGATGGATGGTTGATCAGTCAAATGACAAAACTTATTATCTTTAAATGAAATTTTTTCAGGTTGTACGTTACTCATTTCAGGTTGTACGGTAATTGAACTTCTTGAAGCGCTTCTGAGAGTTTCTTATTAAGCAGTATATTATCTCGAATTTGCTATGTATTCCGTAAAAAGTTATATTTCGAAGTTCAAAACTAGCCAGTTTTGGTTGGTATTTACGCAATATGGAAGACGTGCTTAAGAAATGAAAACTTTATTAGCAATTTATTAAAATTTGAAAAATAAAATTTGTTTTTTGATCATTTATTCACCTGTGTTACCTCAATTTTGTATCTTTTTTGTCTTTAGACTTTTGTTTTGAATATATCTGAAAAGTCAGGAAGTTATGTTTATATCGCAAGCCGTATTTTGTAAAGAAATACAACATTAGTTACAATTTTATCTGACTTTACGATGAATCATTTATTAAAAAAAATAGCTTTAACTTATCAAGATCCAGCTCAAAAGAAAGAGCTTAAGTTAAGAACTATCAGCAAAAAAGAGCAGATAACCTACATCCACAGTTTTCTATTTACGACCGTCAGATGTAATTGTTTTTTTTTTTAAATCATTGAATACGTGCTGTACAAATTTGAACAAAAGTTCCAATAAATTTCGGTTTAGAAGTCTCCCGAAAAATTAAACCAGAATTTCTGGAAGATTGCACCAAAGGACTTGCTTAAAAGGCTAAAAGTTTCGCTTGATTTACATGATAAACATTTTTGAACAAGTTTTTGAATACAGTTAATCCTTAAGTGTATTGAACTTTCGATGCATCCAGCTTTTCAACAAAAGTCTCGCGCAAAGATTGAAAGTTTATCTGGCTTTTCGAAAAACGTTTATAATGGAAGTTCTCATCATAACAAAAATCATTAAAATTATTTCGAAGAAAAATTAAAAATTCAATTTGGACGACAAAAGCATATAAACAAGTTCTCATTTCTTGAAAGTTTTACTTGGATAAGTTTTTTAATGTAAAAGTTCACTGTTTGACTGAATCTGCCAATTTTTCTTCTCACGCTAGTGCTCCCACAAAATATATCCATCTTGAATGCAAAGCAATTGAAATGGGTGTACCTAAAACAAAGCCACATATTTTCCTACTTTTGACCGTTGAAGTAAAAAACATTTTATTTCTTATATAATTACTTTAATTAGTTTATAGTTTCTCTAACTGTACGAACTAATGTCGTCCGGTTCAAAGACATGTCTAAAGGCCTTAGGGTTTCAATGCCGCCCCAGCCTCTGATTGGTATTGCATGCATTGTTTTATACAGCAAGTAAAGTGAAAAGGGTTCATACTCCCCCACAGACCTGTGTTTGTCTTTTTTTTTAATTTGAACTGGCATAATTTTGAGCAACGCTGACCACCTGATTAACTAGCTGGTAGCGTCGGCTATTCTTAGTGCTTTGGTGTCAAAAAGTTTAATAAAAAAGTTTGTGTAATAATTCATTCATGGTCGTTTTTGCCGCTATTTTTTCCTGAAAAAAGTATCGCTTGGCCGTTTAACTGAGAAACTGAAATTCGGAAAAAAAAATTTTTTTGAACGTCCTGTCAGTTTCTGTCAGAATTACTGCCCAGGTTGCCTGCCCATGGAAGTCAATCCCTGGAGCATCCCTGGAGCCACGCCTAGCCAGGGGAAAAACCAGGTCAAAGTCTTGCAAGAACTTTCCTGGCTTTCCTAGATCAGTCTAAGAGTCAAGGGCTGCTTTTCAAAGAATTATGCTAGCAACCAGGGCTGGAATCCCAGGTTTTTTAATGCAAAATTTAGAATCGGCATTTGGCTACAAACCTGGCTGAAAGCTAAAAAAAATTGGTTTCGAGCGAGCTCACATAGGTAGGAAACCAACAGGAAGGTACATCTTTCATTCTTTCATCTGGAAATATATCGATTTTTTTTCGGATTATTTTTTATACAAAATTACATACAGTAGGAGTTAAAAAACACTCCTCAACTAAGCAAGATAGTAAAAACGAAATTTCAATGCATTCAAAATTTAGTTTTTTGAAAAAACAACCAATAAGTTTTTTAGGACTTTTCAGACTTTTCGAAAAAAAACAAACTTGGACTTTTTAACTGCTTATGGATATAATGATGGGATATATATAGAGTGTTTCCTTAGGACATATCCCAAACAAAGTCCGATTGTTGCCAAGTTTTTGGTGAAACCTTTGCTTTTTTTTGACTCACAAGACTGGTTTACCAATATTTTTCTTTTTCATGAAAACAAACGTTTTTTTGTTCTTACGTAAATCAGCTAAGATGAAACACCAAAGGTTAAGACAGGTTTATCTTAGTTGAAAAAAAATTCAAAAGTTTTTGAATTCTCGCCAGGACTCCTAGACAGATCCTTCTAGTAACTCCAGGATTGCCCTGTACCCTTTGATTTCCTATCAGGAAGTCTAAGGTTTTCCCCTGTCTAGTTAACCCGGTTTGTGATGGTCCCTATTGCATTATGAACCAGATCCTGCCAATCGGCATCTTCTCCTAGCAGAAAGCTCTCGATCAGAAGATGCCAACCTTGCTGCACCTTATAAGGCTTGCGCTCAGAGGCTTTCGGTCGTATTTTACATAAAAACAAAACACGTGCTCAGAAGGGCCGAGCCGTCTTCTACATCCGAAGACTCATGCTCGGAAGAGTCCAAATGTGCTGCACAAAAAAATCTCGTCTTCAGACAAAAATCATTATATTGCACCCGAACGACTGCGGAAGGATTGAAGCCTTCCGAGTAGTGACGATTGTACTGTTAGGGGTGAGTTGTAGCATTGGCTATGTCTCGACTTAAACTTTCGCATACTACCTGTTCTAAGTCTAGGTATGTTAGTTACTTAGCCTAATGAGTCTTTTCGTTCCAGGTGCTAAGACGAGTGATGTAACGAAAGTTTTTGACGACAGTGCAAAAGTTCAGAAAAATATATCAATACTTGATTTTTTTTAAAAAGTGTTGAAAGTAGTTCTACTCAAGACTAAACACCGGGTGTGCCCAGTGATGAGAAAAATTTAATCCCTCTCAAGTATCTTTTTTCTAACATTATACCAAAAGTATAAGTCTTAAAAACCGACACACGCAAAAGACGACTGACGATTATATAGTAACACACCCTATAGGTGACAGCGATCTCTCGTATCAGTATCAATTTACCATTGCAGCTTTATCAAATTACTTCCAAATTTTGAAATCATGCAATTTTTTTTCAAAAATAGCAGTGATAATTTCAAAATAGAACGAATTAAAACGAAAGAAAAAGACTTCCCTCAATTGGAACACTCCAAATGAAAGAAGCCCAGGACAATTGTCATCTCAAGTGAGTGTATTTTTGCTATTGCACTCACCGAGGTCTTCTTCCATATACCCTGCTATTGCTGCTTTTGCCCGAGCTGTCCTGTTAAGTAGCTCAGGGCAACGTTTGATCGAAAAAGTGTGTTTAACGTTTAATTCAAGCAAAAGCTCTACCACAGTCGGTCAGTCCAAGTGCACGACAGTAGCGTTCAATTATTACTATTCTCAGGTGAGCGTTTCTGAACCTAAAACGCTCACCGAGTGATTTCCCGGGTTGCCCAAGTTTTCCTACCAAGCAGCTCAAGGCAGCCACGCAATCAAAATAGCAATCAAAAAAAGTTATTCGGGTACTTTGATGAACCCTTGTAGAATCCTAAGTCGCGATTCTCCGTGTCAAATACTCTAAATACTCCTAAAATACACACCCTTAAGGTAGTCAAGCTTCTTTTTTGAATCT